AGGCTCTAGTTTGGCCCACACAATGAACAGATTTTTAAATGGTTTTCTATGGCCTAGCAGGATCTCCTACTATCATACTACAAGAACTATGGAGTTTTCCTCACAACAGCAGCCTCCTGAGAGAATAAAAGGTAGGTAAAACATGTGTGCCATTAAGTGTAGTAGGTTCAATATGATAAAAGCAAAGATTTTACTCATCCTTTCGCCCTTTGAAGATGTATTCGAGATCTTCAATGCATTCACAAGAGTGAGCAGACTTGTTCTCTGTGTGCACCTGTGAAGACTAAAGAGGTAGAACTGAGATCCTTGACAAATGTACCCAGCTTGGGATGCACTGAATTTGACTTCAGTAGGAATGCTGAGTAGCACCTGGTAGGATCCCTTTCATTTAGGATGCAACTGATCAGAGGAAGAGTCTTTGCTCCAAGTGTCTCTTAAGCCTTGGTCTCCTGGAGACAGGCTGTTCATGACTTTTGGGACCTGGCACTGTGAGAATTTTATTACCACAGTCCATTAGCCTCTTGTATAGGAAAGATTAATGATAAACTTTTATCTGATCCTGTATCCCTGAGTCAAAGAGGGTGTCAGAGGTGAAGAACACCTTTTTATACAGCACTTTAGGCAGTATTAGAGCAGCCTTAGGTGTCACTTTGATCCTGAGGGCAATAGGTAAGAATTTAAACCATGATTCTGAAGTCTTTGGGCAAAGCTTAGCCAAGATTATCTTAAGAATATGACTAGCTTTTTGAGTTTATTTGATGACTAAGGTCTCCAAGGGGCATGGAGATAAGAAATCCCTAAAGCAGTCACTACATGTTGAGGTACTTTCTTCATGACTGTATGCAGCCTTTACCCTCCACATATGCAAGGAACTCCTGGCATTAAACCTACTCTTCCAAAACAGTGAGAGCCATATATTAATAACCCTCCATTCAGTGCATGGCCCTATGATTGAAAACCCACCTCCAGTGGCATCCTTTGTGTCTGCAGTCAGGAGGGCTCTTCCTTTCCAAATTGCTCCATGTGCAGGGAACTCAAGGAAAATAAACTGGAGCCCGTACATATTAACTAATTAGCTCCTCCCTCATTGCAAGGCTCTAATTAAAGCAGTAAGTTTGGCTTTTTGCGATCAAGTGTGAGATGGCAATATCTGAGATTCTATCACCTGAGTAAGACCCACCACAGCATAACCTGCCTTTTTAACTTTATAATGATAAGAAAATCAAAAAAGAAATGAGATTTTTAAATATCATAAAGAAATGAGATTTTTAACTAAAATACACACGGATAGAAAGCAAAAGTTTGTGGCAGAGAAAAGAGGAAAAAAAATGAAAAGAACAATGAAAACAGCAATAAAAAGAACAGGTCAAACAACAGACATGAGCTACAATAATTATTAAGATTAAGGCTATTCACTATGCTAATATTTTGAACAAACACTATATATGAAATGCACCATATTCATCAGTGATTCAAAAAAATCAAATGTGAGGAAACAAAAACATGGAAAACTATAACAGACAGTAAAACACCAACTCTTATAACTAAACTCATAATAATAATCCTCCTATGTAAATAAAGTAATTAGGGATGAGAAAAAAATAAAAAGGTGAGACACACAAGAATTACACAATTAGAAAAAGAAAAAAGGAAATGAATAAAAAAAGAATATACAAGAAAATCAAAAAAGAAATGAGATTAATAATAAAATACAGCGAGATAAAAAGCAAAATTTGTGGGGGAGAAAGAGGAAAAAAAATAAAAATTGATTGCAGATGAGAAAAAATAAAAATGATATAAACAAAAATTAAAAAATAAATAAAAAACCAGAAAGTAAATAAAAGAAATGACAAGAAAATCAAAAGAGAAATCATGTTTTCAAATAAAATACACATGTTAAAAAGCACATGTTTGTGGGGGAGAACAGAGAAAAAAACAAAAACAAAAAAAGAACAAAATAAATGGCACTAAAAAGAACAGGTAAAACAACAAGGTATGAAATACACTAATTATTAAGATATATTCTATTCACTATGCTAGTATTTTGAACAAAAACTACATATCATTACACTATACTCATCACTGATTCAAACTAAATAATCATGAGTGACAAAACAAACACATGGAAAAATGTAACAGAAAGTAAAACACCAACTCTGATACCTCAACTTAGATTACTCCTCCTCCTATGTAAATAAATTGATTGCAGATCAGAAAAATAAAAAATGAGATAAACAAAAAATAAACAAACACAAATGCAAACAGAAAGCAAATGAAAGAAATGACAAGAAAATCAAAAGAGAAATGATATTTTCAAATAAAATACACATGGATAAAAAGCACATGTTTGTGGGGGAGAACAGAGAAAAAAAACAAAAACAAAAACAGAACAAAAAAAATGGCACTAAAAAGAACAGGTAAAACAACAAGGTATGAAATACACTAATTATTAAGATATATTCTATTCACTATGCTAGTATTTTGAACAAAAACTACATATCATTACACTATACTCATCACTGATTCAAACTAAATAATCATGAGTGACAAAACAAAAATGTGGAAAAATGTAACAGAAAGTAAAATACCAACTCTGATACCTCAACTTAGAATACTCCTCCTCCTATGTAAATAAATTGATTGCAGATGAGAAAAAATAAAAAATGAGGTAGACAAAAGTAAACACAAATGGAAACAGAAAGCAAATAAAAGAAATGACAAGAAAATCAAAAGAGAAATCATGTTTTCAAATAAAATACACATGGATAAAAAGCAAATGTTTGTGGGGGAGAACAGAGAAAAAAAACAAAAACAAAAACAGAACAAAAAAATGGCACTAAAAAGAACAGGTAAAACAACAAGGTATGAAATACACTAATTATTAAGATATATTCTATTCACTATGCTAGTATTTTGAACAAACACTACATATCATTACACTATACTCATCACTGATTCAAACTAAATAATCAAAAGTGACAAAACAAACACATGGAAAAATGTAACAGAAAGTAAAACACCAACTCTGATACCTCAACTTAGAATACTCCTCCTCCTATGTAAATAAATTGATTGCAGATGAGAAAAAATAAAAAAATGAGATAAACAAGAATTAAACAAACAGCAAATGCAAACAGAAAGTAAATAAAAGAAATGACAAGAAAATCAAAAGAGAAATCATGTTTTCAAATAAAATACACATGGATAAAAAGCAAATGTTTGTGGGGGAGAAGAGAGAAAAAAAAGAACAAAAAAATGGCACTAAAAAGAACAGGTAAAACAACAAGATATGAAATACACTAATTATTAAGATTAATTGTATTCACTATGCTAGTAATTTGAACAAACACTACATATCATTACACTATACCCATCACTGATTCAAACTAAATAATCAAAAGTAACAAAACAAAAACGTAAAACAATGTAACAGAAAGTAAAACACCAACTCTGATACCTCAACTTAGAATACTCCTCCTCCTATGTAAATAAATTGATTGCAGATGAGAAAAAATAAAAAATGAGATAAACAAGAATTAAACAAACAGCAAATGCAAACAGAAAGTAAATAAAAGAAATGACAAGAAAATCAAAAGAGAAATGATGTTTTTAAATAAAATACACATGGGGCCGGCGCCGCGGTTCACTAGGCTAATCCTCCGCCT